ATACCGGATCGGATCTGATTCGGGTTGACCTCCGATTTAGGAATGCCAGGAATGCCAGCGGCTCATGTACTATGACGCGCCCACATCCCACGGTCTTCGCCATCCACGAATTGCTACGTATACACACAGGTCAGCGCGCGGTTTAGCGCGCGGATGAGGTTCGGAAGCCGCGGCGCGCGGCGGCGGTGGACCACTTGTGTTATTAACGCATACATCGATACGGATACATAATTCCGGTTTGTTCCGATCCTCGCCGCGATACGCGCGCGCGCGCCCGTTTATTCTATCAAAGAAATTACGTTGCCGGGATCTAATCCCGATCCCTGCAGATACACCAGATAATTCGATGCAATTTAGGCTGACCTCCAATTTTGGAAGCGAGTTTCAATCGAATACAAATCCGCGAACGCGCCGAAAGGGCAAATAACGTTACTTATAAACCTTTGGCTGTGCGCGTTACGTTTTTAGCTTAACAATAGATAAGATAAAAATGCATTGCAATTACACGGCTCAGATTCTCGTAGGGATTCTCCTTCTATTTATTGTACTTCTAAAACGCTTCGACGCAACTTGTTACTTTGCTATTTTGTCTTGGCAAAGTTGCTAAGAATGTTTGAGCTTAAAAACGATTAAAAACGAGAAAGGCTTTTCTGTAAATTAAAAGCTCCAGAGGCAGAAGTAAATAAAATCTTATTTTGCAACGCGTAGTTACGAGTGTATCATACTTTAACAGAATTTTAATTAAAGTGCTTCTTACATTAAGAAATTACTTCTGTTTCCTGAGTCTTAAGATTTTATTGTGCACTGTAATAATATAATATACACCGCGACAGTTTGTGTGTTCCAGATGGCAAGCCTTACTTTTCTTTTTTTTGTCTGATTTACTTTAGTGTAAATATTCATACCCCTGAGCGTTACGCAGCCGCGAGTCGCAGATGCACTGCTAAGAAATGAAAATTGTTAAAGGGGTCTACGTGAAAATATTTAGTAGCTCCGCATCGTATTCGCGATGTTTTCTGCATTCTTATAGAACTTTCGCGAAAGTTTCGCAATTTGCGAGATAGATACTTTTCGCAAAATATTAAAACGATGCCCAATCGAGGAATTTGACTAAGTTTATAGATTCTGAAGCGAAATGATTATAACAATCTCGCTGTAATACGTTCTTTTAAAATAAGCGCAAGTTTTGAATAAGCGCAAGAAGTGACAAACAATTAACTCGTCCCTACCGCGCTTACACATTTCTTTTTTTTCTACCGCGGACCGCATTAACGTTAAACTACGTGCCCACTGTACTTTAATTAAACCCAACTGTACGCCGACGTTCTCGTTACTTCTCGACTCTACCGCGTTCTGAAAAAAAAAAGAGGGAAAAGACTATGGCGAGAGGCTGCTGCAGAAATTGTCGCACCCAGTCGCGCCGCGCGCGCGTTTTGCGGCAAAAGTTTACCGTCGCAACGGACTGAGACTTCGCTTTGAGTATTAGGATGAAACGTTTCTCTTTTAGATTCCACTTCGACGTAAATGTCGCTGTTACCCCGTTGATGTTGAACATTTCAAGATTAAATTACTTTTCGCAGAAAATATATCTTGTTGTAGTGAGTAAACGATAATTAGAGAAATATTACATAATATTATACCTATAAGAATACTTATAAAGGTAATTAATTTTTTTTTCACAAGTAATTTCATTGATAAAATATCTGATTAATTTATCTTATTCAATAAAATAAGTAACTTCTGTATCTCTAAATTATTTCGTTTATCGAGAAACTAAAGGTTTAATTGGAGGAATAAATGTAAAAAAAGAGATTCGTTACACGCTTGACAAAAGCGACCATACAGTAGTACTACTTTATCGTATACTGCAATATTGTGCTATGGCGGAAACAATCCTCTCCTCCCAAAAAAAGTTCCCATTTCCATGACAATGCGGGCCTCCGAGCGTTAGTATACATACAAAGAACAGTTTCGCTATGGAATGAGTGAGGAATAAGGGAGGCGCGCGGTCGATCGCACAAGCGGAATGATATCGATATCGTATCAATGAGATGCGAGAGTTAATTAAAACATTAAATTTAGCGAATTCAATTAGCGCGTTTCGGCTTGCGAGAGTTCTTTTTTTTTTTGGTAAATCGGAAAAACAACGGAGAAGTCGCACGGTCCAGGCGCGCGGGCGCGGAAGAGGAAGGCGCGTAGTAGAGGCGAGTAATATTTTACGAGTATTCATTACATCGGAAAGAGCAGGTGACTGCCGTTTTTCAATATTTGCAATGGGTCCGATGTTTGCAACACAGCGCGCGGCGCTGTGCAATGTCGCGTCGCACGCACCGGGAATGGAATTCCCGATGGGCGTATCGTATTCGCCCTCCGCGAGAGAGAGAGAGAGAGAGAGCGTGCCCGCGAGCAATGCGAAATCTCCGCGTTAAACCTTCTCGCCATCTCTCGATCTCCGTTTATTGAATGGAAAATTTTTACTTTAATATCGGTCGTTTGCAGACGCGAAGTTTCAGGAAGTTTCAGCAGATATTGCCTACCGTGCAGCTCGACATTTTTCAGAGCGTTCGACAGTAAACGTTGACAGTAACACTTCTATTGTTCGGTTTATTTTCAAGAACCGTTTATAGATATAAACGTGTGCTCGTTGGAGAAGCATAATAAATTAAAATTAGGTCTATTTAAAATACAAAATAAATAAGTTTTTCCGTATGAATAAGACACTTTTATCTCACAACATATCATTGAAGGAAAAGCTAAAGCATCGCGTGTTGCGTTTAATTAATTGCTATTATTCGAAAAAATTATGTACGTCACTTTACCATATATTACCTGAGAAATTGCAATTAGTATATCAGTGTACATAAAACGCGACGCGAATAAATTATTGGCGATCTTCTGTTAACAGAACAAAAATTTCTGGTTGACAAACATGTGACTCTGAACGCAACTTTCGTGTCGTCGCACGTGTAAAAGACTCCACTTGTTCGCATTATTGTATATTTCCGTTTGAATACTTCCTTTCCGCGTAAATGCGCAAGAGAGAAGTTGCCCCACTCCCTCAGTACGAACATCTCACGTTTACATAAGCGTTTGCGAAAAATTTTCGTCCGCGGCTCCTTTTCGCTCGAGGCGAAAAATGTATGTGGCCAATATCTACCTGCCTGTCGGATGTCTCCGTGTATGCGCGCGTATTTCACGAGTCAAGTGCAGACTGCCAGTTTCCTTGATGACGAACTCGCCGCTGCGCGGGGATGCGCGTTACGAGAAAGAGTTACGAGATCGTTGGTGGGATTCGCGAGATCGCTCACGCGCGTATCAGATTGCAGGCGACATGAGCGTTGCGGAGTCAACTAGTGAAGGAGTGTCTCCCGTATTTCTCCAAGCGCTGTCTTATTTCGCCGACGTCGTCGGAATAAATCGCGGTGACGTGACGACTCGACGTGCGCGCGACGGAGGAGATTGCGCCCTTCAGGACGCGAGCTTCACGCGATTGCATCTTCGTATTTTTCACGAATATTATACAAGCAACTGCATGTCGCGTATCGATACGCGCGGCGAATCTCTTCGTCGTCTCTGCCGCGCGCGCGCCGGGGTCGCTGACACCAGAGGGGTGTTCGGCTCTTACAAGCTCCCGCGTATAGGTACGCTTCTGAGACATTATTAGCCCTCGGGACTCTACATCGCGCCGAGGCTCATTGCCCTCTCTCTCTCTCTCTCTCTCTCT